ATTTTTTTTTTTTTGCAAATAACCTTAGCTCTTCCTGCCCTAAGAGTCCTCAGATACCTTTCAGAGTATATATCCTTCATGGCAACTAGTGCTACATTAGAAAATAAATGGTAGACTGGTCAGGAAGCAGCCTGACGTCATTGCTGAGGCTGCCTCTTGGTGTTTGCACTGACAGCCTGTGAAAGCCATCTAGATGTAACTTTCCACTTTGATGTTTTTAAACAACTTGGCTGTAATTTAACTGTATGTCACATTTGTTTAAAATGTAGAATGTCTTCCTGTTTGCTAAAGTGGTTGAGTTGGCTGCTGAGGTGGCCTAGTGGGTGAAGGAGATTGTCATCAGACTGATAACCAGAGTTTGACCCCAGGACCCAGATGGTGGAAGAAAACTGACTTCTGCAAGCTGTCCTCTGACCTCCATACACAATATGGCACACACCCTACAACAATAAATATGATTTTTAAAATTATTGCGTTGTAAAAATTTTGTGATTTAGGTGATCTGATTTCAAGATCCTCTTTTTTAACAAATAAATTCAAACATGTTTGGTACTGTTCCTGTACTCACCACCTGGATGTCAGTACTCAGGAGACAGTGTTTGTGGGAGGGAAATCAGGCTTCTTCTCAGGCTGACATCTGAGAAGACGGGATGATGTTTCTTCAGGGTCTCACCTTGAGCACTCAGTGGTACAAAGAACTTTTATAGAAGGGTAGAATGGGCATAGAATAGAGATCAGGCAAGTAGCATGCTAAGTAATTTTGTCATACAGGATGAGGTCTTGCCCTCCAGGACTTGTGGCTCCATTTCTTCCCTTTCTCTAATTATTGCTCTTGACCTCCCGGGGCTAATTAAAAGCATATTACTTCTCTCTAAGTTAAAGAGTGAAGCAGGTTTGGGACGTAGCTTAGCGGTAGACTGCCTGCACGGTACGCATGAAGCTCTGGCTTTAATCCTTGATGCTGATAAAAACAGAAATGGAGTCAGGACAATGTGCATGTTCTGTGTTAGCTTCAGCCCAGAATTAAAGGATGGGAGGGGGCACACATTCTAAAGGTCACCTGTTCCTGTGGGTTCTACAAATCTGAAGAAAGATGACTTGGCAGTTGACATCTTAATCATTTAGATGTGGCTTCTCTTTAGGATTTAGGATGCCAGACAAAGATGGAGGGAGAAAGACCTTACTTTGCAAATGGCAGCTTGCTAAGTATTGGCCAGCTACGTGTTGAACATCCTCAATATTTGCATTTGGGCCTCAGGAGTGAGAGCACAGAGCAGAACTGGTCTGTTTCCTCTTCCTAGCTACTCTTTCTTCCTTTCTGACTCCCTCCTGTCATTACCCCTCCTTGTTGGATTAGTTGCTGATGGTACAAACTGAAAGGTGATCCTTGCCCTCAAAGACCAGGAAGAGGCTCACTAAAGTAATCTCCACAATCATCACATTCTAGTATGCATGTGTCATCCTGGTAGAAGCTCTGCCTGGGCATCAAACTGATCTCAGCTCCATCCTAGGTTCTCAGAATTTAAGAACTCTGCTCAATAAACATTTACTAAGTAGCTCTATTCCATACTGCAGGAACAAAGATAAGAACTTAAGCCCGGTCCTTTGCTTTAACCTTGGGGTTTAACCAGTGTTATGGGACTCACCGTCCTTCTGTCCCGTGGCCATGTGTATACCTTCTCTCGAATCTTGCTGGTTCTTCCTCATTTGCTTGGCATTGTGTGCTTCCCCCTTAGCCTTCAGGTCCCAGTTCCAAAGCAGTTTGTGAGTGAGGCTTCCTGTCATCTGTCTGACGTGTACCCCAACATGCAGACTTTGTGGGCTCTCTTCTCTCTTCCTCACCCTTCTCATTGTCTCTTTACCGTGGAATATCTGTTGCTTTTATATGAAGTGAGTTCTGAGCAGCAGGAACTTAGATGTGTGGTTCCCCCACCCCCATCCTAATCCTCCTGGAGCATAGTCCATATTTTATGATGATTGGCTGTTTGAATCACATGTGTGTGCAGGTATATTTATCTGTACGGAGGCCAGAGGTTAACCTCAAGTGTCATCCCTCAGATGCCATTAACCTTGATTTTTAAAGATGTCTGACAAGTTCCCCGATTCAGCTAGCCCAGCTACCCAACAAGCCCTGGGGATCTGAGGGTCTCCACCTCCCAGTGGTAGGATTACAAAGGATTTGGTGCACACACCACTACACTGGGCTTTTTACGTGGGTTTTGGGAAATGAAACACACGTCCTTACGGCTGCACAGGGAGCACTTTACCAATCAAATTCCCTAGACCTAGTATCTGTGTCTTTATCTTGTTTCCAGGTCTGTACACGCGCATCTAACCCTGGCTCTCTCTCCCAGACCTCAGGTGCGCACTTGGTCTCCCCCACACGCATGCGCCGTGGGTTGTGAGTGTGATCCCAGCTTCTCTGGCAGGCTTTTGCCGGCTTGCAGCTCTGAACTCGGACTGGTCTTAGCTGCCTGGCTCCTGGCTGTTCCGCAGATGGATTTGTTACAACATGTTCTGCCTGTTCTTCCCGTGACTTAGACCGTAGCTGCCTGTCCAGATTCTGGCCTCCAGTGTGTCTCAGGCATGGTCCCATAGCAGCCTGCTCCCGTTGATTAACCTTTTCTGTGTGACAGCCTTACAAGACTGGACAGAAGGCAGACCCCCATGATGCTTTGTGAATTAAAACCCCAGTCAGTGGAAATGAATAAAGTTGGAGGTTCTTACCTTCCACATGCAAAATTCTTGCATTTCCCACGCCAAAGAATTGTCTAGAAAGCAGTTGGAGGGACGTTGAAACATTTTAGAATAATTACTGGATCCTGAAATTACTTTCTTAAAAGCAATCTTCAGAGGCGCTCGTGCATAATAATATTTCTGGTCTGAGCACTACTGGTAAAATGTTGCGGTGTTATGAATCACCTTTATTCCAAGCCCCTGACCAACGTCTGAGTTGTTAATTCCTTGCTTAGCTTCTCATTATTATCTTTCTTTCCAGAGCCCACAACATGGCTCAGTGAATAAAGAAGCCTGGCCTTAGCTACATGACCTGAGCTCAGCCTACTGAGGAAGAAGGAAACTGACTCCTGAGTATGCAAATTGCCCTCCATACCTGTGCTATGGCAGGTGTGTGCCCCATAAATAAAACATAACTAAAAATTAGTTTTCCAAGTAAGTCATAGTGTCTCACACCTGTAAATCCAGCACTTAGAAAGGTGAGGCAGGAGGATTACCAAACAGGTTTGTCTGTGCTGCACAGTGAATTCCCGGTTAGCCTTGGGTTCATGTGTAAGCCCTGACTCCAAAGACTTTTTTTTTCTTTCTTATTTTGGTTTCTTAAGACAAGGGTTCTCTGTGTAGCTCTGGCTATCCCAGAACTCACTCTGTAGACCAGGTTGGCCTCAAGCTCACAGAGATCTGTTAGTCTCTGTCTTCCTAGTGCTGTGTTAAAGGCATGTGCCACCATCACCTGGCTAGAATTTTTTCCTTCTGTATTAAAGTTGAAGATGTTCATACAAAGTAACCTTAGGTTCCTAAGACATGCGTACAGCGTCTCTGTGGGGTGCTATAGAGGTTCTAATGGAAACAATGGGGCAAGACAGCCTGGTGACTAGATGAAGCAGCACTCTTACTGGAACCCCAGAAACTGCACTACCCTACAAACTTTATCAGTCTGGATGCAAATTTTCGGTTTGAGCACCATCTTCAAGTTGCAAGTGTGGGAGAAAGCAAAAGGGACTGGCTACCAACACTGTTTCCTTAAGTCACACAGAGCCACCGTGGTTCTCAGGGCTGCTGCTACAACAGCAGTTTTTAAACTCTGGGCCATGAACCCTGGGGGTCCAACGATCCTTTCACAGGGGTTGCCTAAGGCCACTGGAAAACACAGATATTTACATTATCACTCATAACAGTAGCAAATTACAGTTATGAAGTAGCAATGAAAATAATTTTTTGGTTGGGGGTCACCACACCATGAGGTATTAAAGGTATTAAAAGGCCAAAGCTTTAGGAAGGCTGAGAACCGCCATTGTACAGGAAGGCTCATGGGATCCATCCAGGCACTCAGTACCTGCAGCCTAGACGAGGCCATCTGTTCTGTCCGCTAACAGAGGGATCCTTCAGCTGAACGGTGGAGATGGAGAGAGACACTGGGCGTTTCTTGGTGGAATAGATCCCCAAAGGAGCCAGAACTCAGGCGTGGTGTCCCAGATACCTTCCTCCTCCATTTCCCCACTTAGCATATGCTAAGCAAAGAGGCAGGAGGAGCCCTTTGGTTTTCTGGGATTACATGACATTAAGAGCATGCCTGTAAGGTAGGAGTTACTAAGTTAGGCTTTATTTTTGTTTTGGGGTGCTGGGGATAAGCCTGGGCTCTCATGCACGCTAGGCAAGCACTTTACTACCGAACCGAAGTTGGGCTTTAACATAGGCGATCAGATGAGCTTAGAAGTCCCCCAAGCTTCCTTATTATCTCTAGCACCTGTTCCTTCCTGCTTCCCTATTTTGCGTGCTTTGTCAACACGAGGTCCAGATGTGAGGTGTCCCTGTGGGCCTCCCCGGGTGCAAATGCCCTTCCACGCTGACAGGTTCTTGCCATGGTTGGGCTCCTGAACTTTTGGGGGCAGCCAAAAAGAACCCGCGGTAAAGACAACAGTCTAGACTCCTTCCTCCACCCCTCCGTACTGAGTCCTGAGTCCTGAGTCGCAGCTGGGTCACCACCTTGGCCAGGCCAGCTGCTCCAGCCTGCGGGCACCCGGCTCCAGGTCACACCTGATCCCCCTCAGGTCCTGCTTCCGCGCGGGGAAGGCAAGACGTCCAGGTGCTCGCTGGTCTTGGGTGGGTCAGGGGAGCGTCCCGATCCCACCCCCCCCCACCCCCCACCCCCGCACTCAGAAGGTTGGCGACTGGGGACAGACAGACAGACACGGACGTGCCGGCCAAGCTACCGGGTGGGGTGCGGGAGGGGGCGGAGTCGCCGGGAAGGGGCGGTGCCGTGAGCCAGAGCTCAGCCTCCCGCCCCCTTCAGCGCTTGGGTCTTTGGGGTGACACAAAAAGCTCCCGTTCGGTGACCAGCGCCTGGCGGAGGGTGTCCAATCCAGGACGCCGAGGGTGGCGGGGCGGATGGAAGGCGCCGCCTGAAGCCAAGGGAAGGACGGGCCGGGAGCTGGGCTGCGGGAGGAGACGCCGCCACTCTGCCCGCGCCGCCCCGCAACCCGCGGCGGGAGAAGCCGGCGGCAGGCGGCCCCCAACGCGCGTCTGGCAGAGCGTGGCAGGCAGCGCCGACTCTCGGGATGCTGCCCATGGTTCCCATGCTGCTGCGGCCACAGCCAGCATAGCAGAGTCGGAGCCGGCGGCCGAGAGAGGTCAGTGAGTTTCGGTTTGTTTTCCGGCTCTGTATGCTCCCCGGTCCTGGGTGCAGAGGGGGCGCGCGGGAATGCCTGCTCCTAATGAAAACCGGGAAGGGCAACGGTAGCTTAGGATACATTTGAAGGTACCTCTTGGACTGTGACTGGGGTGGCCTATTTGGGTAAAAGAAAAAATGTGCGGAGCTGGAGTGGAGTCTTCCAGGGAGGTGGTCCCGGGAGTTGTGTTTCTCCCGGGCATTGCTCGAGTTGGGAGCGCGATGGGGCCGTGGCAGCTGCCTCTGATTCGCTGAGTCCTGGGATGCCCCCTTGGAGCTCTGGTCCCGGGAGCTCGCCTTGTGCATGATCTGCGCGCGCCCTTGAGGTGTGAGCGCGCACGTCCGTGCTGTGCCCCCCAGCCTCTCCAAGCCCCAGGTAGTCCCCTGCAGTCCTGTCCTGCCTTTCCAGTCCAAGATGTCCTGCTAGAAGTTGACCCCTAGCCATTCTTGGGAAAAGGGAGCCGAGTGGAGGGCCAGATTCCAGGGGTCTTTTGTGCGGACCCAGGGGCCTGGGGCGCTTGCTCTTGGAAGGACAGCGGCAGGACAAAGCCAGCTGGACTTGTAGGGAGCTGCTTGGAAAGCTTTGGTCTGGGATCCCGCCTACCGTGGGGGTGTGGTGGTGGGGGGGAGCGCTGCACAGATTTGGAAACAGTAGGGTAATTGACAAAACAGTGACAGTGACTTGAAGAGGTGGTGGCCCGGGCAAGGAAAGGATGCTCGCAAATTGCAGCCCAGGTGACTGTGCGCCCGCGTTGCCTGCTGTGTGGGTTAACTAGTGTATTTTGCTAGTCTATCTTTGCCACAAGATGATGGTATTCTCCATCCGTACTCCTATCTTTCTGAGGGATTACTGTTGCTGGTAGCTGCTATTCCGCGGGAGAACTTGGGGGCGGGGGAGACTGCAGAGGAGCTGGGAGAGTCATGATGCCCCTTCCTTGCCCTGACAGCATTCCACCCCTCAGTCTGACCCTCCTGGGACACCCACTCCTATCCCAGTGGCCCTGGAGGGTGCTTGGATCTCTGTCTGTGACGCGTGTATCTAACCCCTTACTGCCTGTGTTTCACTGCAGGCTGAACAAAGCTGGGTCCCAGTCGCGCTTCCTGCTTGTCAGCCTCTTGCTTCCCCAATGCATATGCTTTCCACTTGATGTCATCACGCAGACAGGGGTGAAAGGGACGCACGACAGATCCAGGTAACCCCGATGATCTGTGTAACTGCCTGGGTGTCTCTGGGTTATTTGGGCCCACAGTGCTGGCCCAGGACTGCTTGGGTGGTTTCTGCTTCCACAGCATTCCCATTTGTGAAGGAGTGGGGGCTGCCCAACCAGGCAAACAAAACCTGCCCTATCTAAGAAACTTCATTTGAATGTCTTGTTCCAACAACAAATCGCAAATGACTTCATCCTTTCCTTTTGGAGAGGCCACTGGGGGCAGCTTACATTGGAGTGTATTAGTTCCAGTGGATGGTGGGAATTTTGATGCTGCCCGTTCGCAGACAATTGTACCTGAATGTGGACTTGGATGTAAGGCAATCTTTTGTCTACAGTAGGGACGTCATCTAATGATACTGTAGGAAGACTGATAATTGTGAAGCCGATGAGAAATCTGACCAGTGCTCAGTTAGGGCACTGGCTGAGAGCAGTGGCCGCCTTCGGAGATAGTACTGTTTCTCTCCCATCGTTTATTGTAATAGTATTTGCCATGTCATGAGCAGGGTGGACGGGCACCAAGTTACTGGAAGGGTTGTTGGGAAGGAGCAGAAAGCCTGGAGAAGACAAAGCTTCAGTTAAGGTTCCACTTGTATAGATATGAACCATTGGACTCCCCTGCGTTTTATCTTTAGGCCTGTTCTTCTCTTTTCAAAGATAGTTCTATTGTGATCAGCCTCACCAGATCAGAGATTAATTTGACAGAGTGCATGGAAACCTCACCTTCAGATGGACCAAGACACATCTCTGCACTGGCATAAAGAGGGCTGGATACGGGGCTTCCTTTCCTAGGAAGTCAGATTGCAAAAAGCCATAGGTTCCTGGGATCTTTTGCCCCATGGCATCATCAAGGACTACAGCGGAGTCTTTACAGTTTCCCCCAATCCCCTTTCAAAATAAAGTGTAAGAAACTGTCATTCAGGTCTAGAGTAGTTTTGCTTTGAAAGGTGACTTTAAAACAAGGAGCGACACCCATGCTAATCCTATGGAAAGCTTGGAAAATAATTAGCAGTGGAGCCGTCATGTGGTTCTTGCTGAAACAAAGATTTTGGGGAGACAAGATTCCTATAATGGTGCTAGGTTGGAGGTATTCTGACAAGTGATTTTTCTGTCAGCAGTAATTCAGGGTGTGTCCTGGGCTGCGGCAAGAAGGAAAACCATGTGATGGAATAACAGAGAATGTAATAATGCAATAGAACCAAGGGTGTGGCCTTTTTAATAGAAAAAAAAACTCACCTACAATTTTCCACCTAAGAAAACAGTTGCCTGCACATGTAATTGCATGTTCAGGAACAAAGATAGCCACAGTGTAGTATTAGGTTTTATTGTGATTTTTAATCATGTGCTGTGATAACTCATAATGAAATGTTGCATTTCATTGGCTCCCCACCCCCCATGAGGAGTCTCTTTTCCCTGGGGGTTTAGCTTTAGGTTGGCATGGCTGACTTTTGGTTCCAAAGCTTTTCTTGCTTCTCACTAACTCATTCAGCAGATGTTCTTGGGCATTTAATAGATAACAGGTCTGTGAGAGGTGCCCAAAGATGAGTGATGGGTAGACACAGTCGTGAGTCACCCTCACGACTTGTAAGCACAAAGAGAAATGTAAGGGACTGAGACAAGGGAAGAGCCTCCTCGGAGGCTCAGGTGGCCTCTGCTTGGTTATCTTTGTCTCTAGGGTGCTCTTTACTCCCTAAGTGCCTGGGCTGGGTCAGAAGTAGCCTTTTCTTTATGAACTTTGAACTCTTCAGTTGGGTTCTCCATGGCTGCTGAGGCTCGACCAATGTAGGGAGGTCATCTGTTTTCATTTCCTCTTGACCACTGTTCCTATACCTTCTTCTCAAGGTGCTTCTCACACCCTGCTGTGCATCAAGTTTGAACCAAAGTCTACATTTCTGTGTTACCCAATTTAGAAGACAGATGGGACAGGTAGACTTTTGTGGGCTTCTTTCCAGTCCTTTCCAGCAGCGATGTGTTACAGATTTTGCTGTAGTAAGGAGCGCTCCACATGTCCCTGCCTGGCAGCTTCTTTCCTGGGCTTACTGAGTAGAAAGGCCAGGCTCTTTGTAGTCACTCAGACCCTAAACTGATAGAGGCGTGATGGAGCTTGATCCTAAGGGATCACTGCACTCAAGAGAGGAAGTGGCTCAGGTGTCAATCAATCCCGCAATGCTGCCCAGAAGCGTGTTGCACTGTTCTAGTCCCGAGCAAGCTCTATGACCTCTTTAGCTACAATTCAGTATTTCTTGCATGTAAGTGGGAAGCACTGGGAACAGCTGTGCTACACTAGTGACTTATACATTTCTTGTCTCACGGGGCCTGGCTCAAGACTCGGAAGGTATTTGCTGTTCTATGAGCAGCTATTGAGTAAAAGAAAAATGGTAAATACCTTAAAGAGTGTGGTCCATTGACTGGGGAGATGACTCAGTGAGTAAAGTGCTTGCTTTGCAAGACTGAGGACCGGACTTACATTCCCAGCTCCCAAGTAAAGCTGAATTTTGGAGAACACATTTGTAATCCCAGTGTCCCAACAACAAAGGAAGGAGAGACAGGAGACTCTCTGGAGGCTTATATTCCAGCTATCCTGGTGTTTGCTGTAGAGAATGACAAAGAGACACCCTCTCAAACAAGGTAGAAGGTAATGACCAATACCTAGGTCCTCTGACCTACACATGTGTGTTGTGGATACGCACATACTTGTACACATGCAAACACAGGAACGTGAATTCATATCACACATGCACATACACGTTATATACACACATGTACACATACATTAAAAACAAAGATCTTCTCCAACCTGTTATTTACTAAAGTGATAGTATATTTACTTTTATGATTATCTCCTAATTATCAAAAAATAGAGAATTTTTCTTTATGACTGTCTGGGGTGCGGTTTGCTCTGCAGCAATAGGCTAGTAGTTATTTCCAAGGCCAATGCTAGCAGGTTTCATGCCCAGCATTATGTAACGCGGAAATGTCTTTTGCAGACTTTTTCTCCCTTACCATCTGCTTCTTGTCTAAGACTTCCTGATTTTGTTTGGAACATCCCAGGATAGAAAAGAATGGCAGGTGGGCCTAGAGTCACCCAGAAGGTGACCTGCTGTAGCTAAGACCTTAGGAAAACAGATGTGAACAGGTAGGGATGGGCTTAAAACAACTGTTGTAATTTTGATGCTTAGAAAAAGCAATTTGGCCAGGAGGCTTTTTCAGGTCAGTGGGCTCACAAGACACCAGAGGGGTCTAGGGTATTCATTCAAGCTATGAGGGTGGTGCATTTTAAATCCTGCCTTGCCTTACTCCCCATACAAAGAACTGGGTGCTCTGGACCACGCCTTGCAAAGGGTGTGGACAACCCTGGCTGCTTTCAGAGAGACAGTTGCTTTGGGATGAGCTGGCCACTTAAACATCATTGCCCACTTTGAGATGATTCCTGGAACCCTATGTGTATAGATTAGAATCTTTTTTTAAAAAATATTTATTTATTTATTATGTATACAATATTCTGTCTGTGTGTATGCCTGCAGGCCAGAAGAGGGCCCCAGACCCCATTACAGATGGCTGTGAGCCACCATGTGGTTGCTGGGAATTGAACTCAGGACCTTTTGGAAGAGGAGGCAATGCTCTTAACCCCTGAGCCATCTCTCCAGCCCTAGATTAGAATCTTTAAGATTTGATATGTACTTTAAAGTTGAGCAGAGAATTTAATGAAATAGTATTGCTTTTGTCACCTTAAAGTAATTTTCAAAGATACATAGAAGCGACATAGTAAACTGAGTTAATCTCTGAAATGGCAGTGCTTTAGCCTAGTGATGCGGAGGCCACCCTTCCAGCCCAGCTTTATCTGTGTGCAATGCTGGGAGGAGGAGCGGAGAGGGAGTTATTGAGGAGGCAGCTCCAGGGTTAGGCCAAGGGCGAACACAGTATGAGCGAGAAAGAGAAGAGAGCCCCATGAGACTCACCTTGAAGGGCATTTAACCAACTTTAAGATATATTTCTATATTCTATGTGACCTCTTTAATGCTCTTATGAAGTTGGTTATGCTGGTGGAGGACACTTGTGGCAAAAATGAGTGCTCCCTGTCACCTACCGTCACAAAGCCCCAGTAGTCAGAAAGATGGGGTGTGGGGAAGAAGGCATGGTTCTGCTTCTTCCAGGGACTCTGTTGTGCTGTGGGTCCCAGGAGTCAGCGCCCATGATTTACATATATTTCAGGGTTCTCCTGGGGGGGGGGGGAGCTTATGTTCCTATTTTTCCTTTCATTTTCTCTGGTTTGATCCCTGAATTCCTTTCCAGTCTTCATTTCTGCTTATGTGTGTGTACATGTAGAAGTCAGAAGACAGCTTGGTGTTGTTCTAACTCAGACACCACCCACTTGGTTTTTTAGATGGGGTCTCTTACTGGCCTTGGGTTCTCTGAGTAAGGCTGGGATGGGTGACCAGCAAGCCCAAGGTACCTTCTTGCCTCTGCCTCCCTGATCTTGGTTGGCATTATAGGCATGTACCACCAATAGTTTTCCCAAAACTTAATTGCACTTTTCTTGGTTCTTGTGCATTGTGTGGCCTTAGTGTCCTTCCTTTTCCCTCTTCTCATCCTATAGCTTCTACTCTCAGCTCAACATTTAACTGGGTCATTTGATCCCTTAGTGATTCTTCATTATCAAAATTCTGTGGAAAGGTTGTCTCTGCTGTCTCATTTCATTCATTTTCGCTCATTCATATTCATTTGTTCACTTATTCATCATCGTTCATGACAAAGAACACTGCATTGTTAGTATTGGAGTATCTTTCCGTTTAGTTACTGTATCATAAAAACTTATCAAAGCTAACTAACGTAAAGGCAGGAGCTTTAAAGAGATGTCCGAGGATGTCTTTTGCCATTAAGCTTCTCTCCCCAGAGCCCTAGTGCCTGAGACCCTTCAGCCATTGCCCTTCTGGGTCCTGCCCAGCAGTGAAGAGGGTAGCCGAGGGGCACTTCCCTCCAGGGGA